GCTGTGAACATTCTAAACTAACACGAGTCTCATATGTGTCCAGTTTRAGGRTATTACAYAGAAACACACCACAATAACATGAATCAAATATGTACTTTATTCATTTACAATAAATGTCATAAAGTACATCATTCTGATTGGAGCTAAGGGCATACACTGTCCAACAAGTACCCAACTTCAAACTTGTTTTTCCATAGAGTTTGTCAGATCCAAAGAACTTTAAGAGATGCATTAGAAAGCACAGATTGGTTTATAAGCGTGATGGCTAAACCCATGCAAGAAAAGTTTGATAAATATTGGGCAGAGTATAGTACTATTTTGGCCATTGTTGTAGTTTTGGATCCTTGATACAAGCAAGTTAAAGATTGTGGAATATGCATTTATAAGGTTATATGGTGAGGATGGGAAAGATAAAAGTGTCCATGTTCGAGACACATTGTATGAATTATTCAAAGAATACATGAATCACTATTTATCCATTGATCTAAGTGCTTCCACAATTCCATATGAGGGTAGTAGCACAACATGTTACAATGAATATGGCTTTATGAAGGTGAAAGTTATTTTATATTTTTGTCTTGATAAATAATAAGTGATATGCAAAATGATGATTATATATTGGTTTGCATTTTTAATTATATGTTTCTTTGTGTTATGTAGGACTATGATGTTTACGAAAGTCAAGCCTTTTATACAAATGAAAGGAAGTCACAACTTGGCTTGTATTTGGAGGAGCCATATGTTGAGAGACAAACTGAACTAGATGTCATAGCATATTGGAAGTCATGTGAAAAACGATTTCCCGAGTTGTCTCTAATGTCTCGTGATATTTTGATCATTCCAATTTTGACTGTGGCTTCTGAAGCAGCATTTAGTGGAGGGGGAAGATTATTAAATCAGTACCGTAGCTCTCTTGCCCCAAGAATGGTTGAGGCGTTGATATGCACTCGGGATTGGTTATTTGGGTCTGAAGGTAAATATTACACATTACATTTTCTTCCTCTATTTCATTTTTTTTTTTGACTTTTTCCTTTTGTAAATGTAGATAAAGCAGAAAAGGATGATGTAAACATTGATTTAGAGGTTGATATCTCCAATTCTGAAAGCATATCCCTTCAATCTGACTAGAAAGGTAGTATCATTTATATATTTATCAATTTATCTTTATAGCTTGCTTATTTGAATGTCATTTATATTTATTTTAACTTGCAACTATTTGACAATTGTGGTTTTTTGTAGTATCTCCCTAATATGGCGACAACAATGAGAGTGATATTTGATAGAAGAACTCCTTGTCAAATCAATCATTTTGCACTCCTTAGAAGAGATCCTTGGTGAGCTATCTCTTCCATTTAATTCTAACAAAACAGAAATTTGTAATATCTTATATGGTTTTTCTTTCAAACATTAGTTATCTGTTTGTTTACTTAGTTATCAATTATGATGTATCCATCTTTACCATGCTAAATTTTCTGTTATTTGTCTGCATAATGTTTTCAATTTTTTTTTGTATTCTTTGCTATTTTTTTGCAATTCTGCAATTTTTTTGTTATTTTCTGCTATTTCTGGTATTTTCTGCTATTTATCTGCTATTTCCTGCATTTTATGTAATTTTCTTGTATTTTCTACATTTTCTGCAACTTTCTGCTATTTCTGAAAATTTCTGTGTTTCTGCTATTTTTCTGCAATTTTTTGCTATTTTCTGGTATTTTCTGCATTTTTGCAATGTTCTTGTATTTTCTGCTATTTTTCTGTATTTTTGGTATTTTCTGCAATTTTTTCTGTATCTTTTGCTACTTTCAAGTATTTTTTGTAATTTTCTGCTACTTCTGAAATTTTCTTCAGTTTTTGCTATTTTCTGCAACTTCCTAGTATTTTCTGAAATTTCTGCTATTTTCTGCAATTTTCTACAATTTTCTGATATTTTCTGCATTTTCTATAATTTTCTGTATTTTCTGCATTTTTTGCAATTTTCTGGTATTTTCTGATAACTTCTACAATTTTCTGATATTTTCTGCATTTCCTGCAATTTTCTGTAATTTCTGCAATTTTATGCTCTTTGTGGTATGTTTCTGCATTTTTTGTAATTTATGCATTTTTTATATTTTGTGCATTTTCTGGTATTTTCTGTTATTTCCTGATATTTTCTATAATTTCTGCTATTTTTCTACAAATTTCTGCTATTTTCCTGCATTTCCTACAATTATCTGCAATTTTTGTGAAGTTTCTGCAATTTTCTGCTTTGTTTTGCTATTTTCTGGTATTTTCTTCAATTATCTGCAATTTTTTGATTATTTTCTGCATTTTCTGGTATTTTCTATTATTTTGGGTATACGGGTCAACCCAACCCGTTTATAGCACACGGCAATCTCGGGAGAGTTGTTTCTCTCAAAAAGTTGTTTTTTTGGGTATACGGCCTGACACGATCTGTTTCTGCCATGTGGCATCATTGAGAGGTGTTTCATAAAAAATGTTATTTTCGGGTACATGGGTCAATCCAACCCGTGTATACCACTTGACAATCTCGGGAGAGTTGATTTTCTCAAAAATTGTTGTTTAGGGTAAACGGGTCGGATTGACCCGTTTATGTATTTATATACGATGGTAGGTAGGTTAATATAGGTAAGGGTGGGCAAGAATCATATGAATGGGTCAAGTAGGTTAGGGTTAGGATGAGTTATGACCCTTTAACAAGCATTAATGATGGATGATGATAGATTGATGGATGAAGATGAATGAATTGATATTCAACCCTTRTGCAACTCAACCCAATCCACCCATTTGCCACCCATGTGTTTAATTAATAGTAGAAACTGAAACACCATCCAGTTGAAACTTGAAAGTAATAGTAGCTTCAACTGAAAGTCAATAGCTTTTTCCTTGGAACTTGCAGAGGCCACAGACTGAGTATTTGTGTACATGTCTGCAAGTTCCCCACTCCTTAAAAACTGTGTAAAGGATTCATTTGTGAAAGATATAACTCTAGGCTTTCTTACTCCTTTAATTTTTCACATAAATGCTTATCTACTTCACCGTCCTATTTCTGCATAATCCTAAACTTGTTTCTATTTCCCCCGTTTTTCTTGTGACTGCATAACAGGAGACAAGAAATATAGGACATGATAAAATATCCTAACGCCACTGTTGTACAAAAACTGGGCGAGAAGTGACAAGGCAAGCACACGGTTGTTTTCCACAGTGATCATTCAATTCTCGGAATTCAGAAATTGTTAAATTTTGAAATTCGTGACCAGAACCCGAACCCAAATCCAATGTGGTTGAAACCTAAAATTCTTCAAAGGGACCCTATCTACACCCCTACTACGAAATGTGCCGGAGTTGGATTTTGTAATTTGGATCTTCCCCAGAGTATAACCCATCAAGAAAATGGTGCTATCCCAAATCCCAATAACGTGTATTTTCTCATCCCTTCATCACGAAAAAAAAAAGAGAACAGACTTGTCATGTCAGGGACAATTATACAGAAAATCACTGAAATTTTCAAAAAAGAAATAAAAATACAACAAGAGATATCAGCTTAAGCATGTTTTGTTGTTTTCATTTTTTTTCTCTAAACCATCGAACTTCAAACGGGCATCACGATTTTCAAAACTGGGAACCGGTCAGGTGACTGTTTTGGTTTTTCCCAAAATCAGAAATTTATCCAAAACCGTTGATTTTGGTTAATAAACCACTGACCCGAGTGGTTAACTATTCGAACAGTTTTGATCGTTTTTTATTTTTTTAAATTTTATTAATTTTTTTTATCAAAATAGACCAACCATTTAATTCAAATGATCAGACCGTTCAACCCGATAACTAGACCCCTGACCAGTTCGATCTCCAAATCGTTTTTAAAAACCATGATAGGCATCTTAGTAATTTTCCCTTTACTGTAAAGCCCATTAAAAAGACCGTCGTCACAAACGAAAATATATGGTACCGACAATACATAATTTACCTAACATAAAAAATAAAAAAAAAAAATCACCATCTTATATGAGCGCATTTTCTTTTGCCTTGATGCCTATCCATGCTTTATTTTGCTATTGCCTACCTTACCTTGTTGAGACACATCCACGAAGGGTCTACTAACTTTTCATATAAACCTCTTTATCCATCCTATAAGAAATTAAAGGTTCTAAGTTGTATAGTCGGATTGCAACCAAATTATTTTAAGGAAAGATTACAGCAAAGTTGTTGTCTAACTTCCTTGGGAGGGTATGGACTTTGGTTTGATGAACATGCATATATATTTTAATGGGTGTGATAAGTACATAAAGATGGTGGAAGTCGAAAGCTAGCTAAGTAAACATGATGGATTAGTTTCCTAGCTACCCAAAAATAATAATAATAAATATTTAAATAGACAATAGTTCAGTCCCCACCTCACTCACCATCTCTTGAATATTGTAGGGCATATGTATATCTGGTATCCTTTTTTATGGGTTTTCTTTTCAGCCACTCGGCAGATATGGTGTAATTTGGGAGAGTGATTGATGTTAAGATAAAGATTAAAACGAGTGACGTTGGTGACAATTGATCGATTTAACATATAGGAAAGACACAATGGGGACCCACCATTTAATGGGTCTCACCTAAAATATGCTGTGTCAAGAATCAGCATAGTCGGATTAATTTTACTTGCCTGATTTCTACTTACCTGACAATTGATCGATTTCTACTACGTATCCCACCATTCAAAATAGTTACATCACATTGAGTTTTCTATCCCACAGGAGCATCCATGACTTGATGCCGTTGCTATTAATCGTCCAAACTTGTTGCAATAATASTCATAAGATATATATATATATATAATAGAGGTAGAGGGGATCATGATTAAACAATTCCTTATTGATGAGCAAGTTGGGCCAGAAGTAAGTTTTTGGGGGAGTAGGGTTTATTGATGCTGTTGATGATATGGATAAATTAATGTAAAATATAAAATCCATCATTTATAGTTTCTATAAGAGTATTAAAAAGGATGGATTAATTAGGTCAATTCTCTTTTAGCGGTAAAACATTGGAGTGGTGGGATCCCATGCATACTGATCATGGCTATGACTTGCATACCACCAGTAACAGGATTTGATTCCCAAGTCTCTTGTACAAGTTATCGGTTATATTTCAACCCTGAATCATTATTTTTCCCAAAACTGTTGAATTGGTAAGCGTCATCAAGATTTCATTTCCCAGTGCTGCTTCCTACTTCTAGTCAATAAAGATTCTCTTCCCTAAGACCTAAGACGAGACGAGTTAATCAAAAATAGACTCAACATGTGCTAGCTTGTCCTTACAGTTTCAAGTCTTCTTATGCACGTTACGAATTCAAGGTAGAGGGGTTGCCTTAGATGATGTGTAGACCTGTTCATGGGCCGGGTCGGGCTTTTATTCTTCATTAATGAAAATTTGTTAAGCCCGAGCCTGGCCCGACCAACGGGCCTACAATTTGGGCCCGAGCCCGGCCTTGATAAAAAGCCCGAAGCCCGAGCCCAAAGCCCGATTGTGTTTGCTGGTGAATGTGTTCGTTGGTGATTGTGTTCGCTGGAACTGAGTTCGCGGTGATTATGGTCTGTGAGTTGCGACCTGCGATTTTAAATTTAACAGTGATCAGTTTGCGTCTGAGAAAGAGAGAGAGAGAGAGAGAGAGAGAGAGAACTCACCGCCGTTGCCGGTGTCTAAGATTTGAAAGAGAAGTGAGATTTGAGAAGAGGAACGAGAGAGTCAGAGAGAGAAAGAAAGAGAGAGAAAGAGAGAGAGAGAGAGAGAGAGAGAGAAGGAGAGGGGTGAGGACTCACCGCTGGAGTTGTTGCACCGGTGAACATTCGTCGCCTCGCCGGTTGTGTGGCTGCCTGAGAGTGTGAGGATGAGAACTGTGGAGGATGTGAAGACTGGAGAAGAATTGTTCGGTTGGAAAAAGAAAGGAAAGAGGCAAAGAAGTGAAAAAAAGAGGGGGTCTTCGACTAGGATTTTTAGGTTTAGTTATAGGTTAGGCCGGCCCATGAACAGGTCTAATGATGTCTATCAAAGTGAATCACACACAAGTTCCACATACTGACAAAATTAAAGCACAAGAGGTTCTAAATGGGAAGGACAAGGGGAACGGATCTACTCCTCACACAAGG